TTCCAAGAAAAGAGTGCTTATCTCTAGACAACAATATAGAAGTTTCAAACAGTTTGTGGGAGAACAACATGGGAAATGTTCATGATATCTCTTTAGTCACATATTAACAGATATATAAACATTTTAAATAGAAATATTTGTAATGATTAAATATATGCATTCCAGACTGGAAATATGTATGCATATTAAGTTACAGAGATTCCCCTTGTATGGTAAGAATAAAAAGGTGAGATTATTTCCTACTTTAAAATGTTCTGTATATTCAATTTTTCTACAAAAACTTAATATTTTAAAAATCAGAGTGAAATATTTACTTTAAAATATCTAGTTTTCTGGAGTGTCCCTGAGACACTTCAATCTGTTTGTTACATTTCACAATGTTGTACACATCCTTTAGTTAATAATGAAGTTATATTTTAAAAGTTAAATTGTAGGGCTTTACTATTGTCTTCAATTTAACTAAAGAGTATTAAAGTCACTTAAGGAATAAATGCAAACTGAAGTTGACTGTGGTTTATGTGACACCAATGATAACGATTTCTTAAAGTTCAAAATGAGCCCCAGGTATATTTTATTGAAAAATAAAACTAATTTGAACCTTAAATAAGTGAATGAATAAAATATCAGTTTTCTTTGAATATGTTCTTGCCTAAAGAATAGGTAAATTTTCAATGTCCTTTCTAAAATGTGAGTCTTAACAACACTTGGAAAAGAGCCTTCATAATTAGGCACAGGGCCAAGTCTCATCTCCGGAACCAGGAAGTAGCAGCCCTGTGCTAGCTTTGTTGAAGCAACTGGCTTATATATTACCTTGTACATACTATTTTTTCAATTTGATTGGCTAAGCATATTATTTTAACCAAAGGCCAGATTCAAAGTGCTGCAAATCCACATAAGCAGGAGAATGTTAGGGACTGGAGGACATAGAACATGTGTATTAAACCCCTAATTTCACCAAGTAAAAAGAACCAAAGTCAGAACTTTAATGATATGCCTGTGGCAACCCAATTAGATTTGGACAGAGGTCCCTTGTGGTTTCTATGATGGTTTCTGCATAATAAATGGGGAGAAATAGGAATTTCAGCAAGGCTTAGGTATACACAAAAATAAAATGTGGAGAATCAGTAACATTTACAACCAGGGGAATTAAGAGAATGTTATTTTTTAAGAGGAATGTATCTCTTTAATGACATTTTTTTCATTTTTCTTTATTTACACACTAAACCACTAATCGCTATTGTCACTTTAACAACATACATGTGGGCACCCACCTCACAATAGGTACATCTCATAAACCAAAACTATTGTCTTCTTATTTCACCATGTCTTTTTTCTCCAAAATACTGGTTTCTATTTATTATTTTTTATTTGTTTTATGGAGATATTATTTATTTATTTATAGTAAAATGCACACTTTGATTTTGACAAATGCATACACCCAAGTAACCAATATACTGATCAAAATGTAGAATGTTCCTACCACCCCAGGAAAAGTTCTCCTATTCCCTTCCTGTCAGTCAACTTTCTGTTCTGATTTGTATCACCATAGTTTTTCCTGCTCTAGAACTTTATATAAATGCAGTTATTCAGTATGTACTTTTTTTTTGGTATGGCTTTTTTGTAATTTTTTTTCAGTTGTAGATGGACACAATACCTTTATTTTATTTTTTGATTTATCTTTATGTGGTGCTGAGGATCGAATCCAGTGCCTCGAATGTGCTAGGCAAGTGCTCTACCACTGAGCTACAACCCCAGCCCGGGTGTATTCACTGAGTGTATGTTTTAAGATTCATCCATGCTGTGGAGTCTACCATAGTGTACCCCTTTTTATTGGAAAGGAGCAGTTTATTGAATAAATATACCAGTTTCCCCTCTCTCCTGACCCCCTCTTTTGTTGTAGAGCACTTGGACCATTTCTGGTTTGAAATTCAGAAAAGAAAAAAAAAAAATGCCAATCCTGGCACTATTTTGTCCAAATAAAAAAGTTTCAGGAATTGGCTTCTGTTACCTTTGAGATTCCACCTTCCATTAATAGACAGGTACTTCAAGGGCTCCCTTCCTTCATGTCTTTTGCAGCTACCACAGTACATACATGTAACCAAGCGGGTGGAGGGTAATGAGGGTAATATTGAAGATGGGTAAGTGTATTAATTCAGCACTCGAAGGCATAAATGCTAAGTATAGGAAATAATGCCCTGTGCAGTCTCACAATCTGATCTCAGACATGGTTCATAAAACTTCAAGGAGTGGGGGGAAATGTCAGTGATAGCACCAATCTGTTGAATTTAAGGTATCAGGCCCAATAATAACTACTGTAATTACAGCTTGTACCTAATTCACTATTAATAAAATGCTAGATATTGTGCTGATTATTTCACTTGAGCTTTATGCTTAACATAGATACATTTATTACCTCAGTTTCAGGTAAGGAACTTGGGAGGATGGAGAGTTTACATACTTGAAGAAGTGCATATCCATACATATAAATAGAAGACATTCAGGTATATGTGAAGCAAATCATGAGAACTGAAAGGATATGAAGGCGTCAATTATTTTTATTTTGTCATTTTTTTATACCTTTATTTTGTTTACTTATTTTTATGTGGTGCTGAGGATAGAATCCAGTGCCTCATACATGCAAGGCAAGCGCTCTACAGCTGAGCCACAACTCCAGCCCCTATTTTATCATTTTTATTGGTGCATTTTTATAATAATACATAATAGTGGKATTTGTTGTTACAGTCTCACACATGCACATGAAGGGGTTAATTTTTAAATGGTCAGTGGGATTATACAACCAAGTAGTATGAATAAATAACACTTCTCCTTTTTTAGCATTTTGCAAACACTTCATAATCCATAAGCCCTCTCTGTTCGCATTCACTGACTCTGCAAGAATGTGGTGAGTGGCATGTACCTCCCAGGGAATTACAAACCAGCTGGACAATTGTAGTTTTACAAATAGGGTAATTTAACACCACTCTTGATAACAAAATAAAAAGTACTTAGATGTTTTAGTTATACAGTTACCAACAGTTCTGGCCCAAATCCATGTAAATCCAGAAGGATTTCAGTGGGAAAGTGACTAGTTTAAAATGTCTTGGGGGGCTCAATAAAATGATTGTTTTGTTAAAGTTTTATCGTCTTTCTTGCTGTCTATCCCTACCCCAAAGATCTTTTTTTTTTAAATTCTCTTCCTATACTGTTACTGATCGTTATTGTATTTTTCTATCTAAAAAAGAGAAGATAGAGCAGGAAATATTCTTCCCCTGGCAAGAATTCCCTGAATGCAATTTGGTGAAATTCATCCCTGAGAAGCACCCTCATGTATGGGTTACCCACAGCATTCAGAGGAACAATATAGCTTCCTGCACTGTTYTAGGGCTGAGACTGGTGGTTAAGAACAGAAAGCAATTTCCTCACAGTTCTGGATGCTGGAAGTTAAAGATCAAGGCATTGGCAGGCTTGGTTTCTTCTGCAGTCTCCCTGCCTTCTTGCTGACCTCATATAGTCTTCCTCTGTGTCTCTGTCCTAGCCTCTTCTTCATACAAGGACACTAGTCATATTGGATTAACGTTCACGCATATGAACACATATGACCTAATTTTAACTTTTACCTCTGTTATCAAGCCTTTCTCCAAATACAGTCACATTCTGAGGTACTGAGGGTTAGTTCTTCAGCTTATGAATTGGGGTGAGAACACACAATCCAACCCATGACACTTCCTCTCTGCCTCACAGAGCTGTTAAACTAACAAAAGTAAGAGAATATTTAGAAAAACACCATGTGTRTAGTAGTAATATCACAAGAATAAGGTTGTTAGTGTTGGTAAATGAGGTATAGCTTCAAATAGTTTAAAATTATTTGTGAATTGCTTGTAAGAAAAGACTGAGTGGCTACTACTATAGAGAGCAGGGCTATGAAAAAATGAGATCCTATGTTGAAGATCATATCTGAAGACAGTTTAGATTTTTAAAATTCTTTTAGATATTAAAAGAACATGAAAAGTAACCTAACAATTAATAGCTAGTTACAGAAGATGCAAGGTGTGTTTTTGTTTTTTAGGGGACACAACTCCAAGCTTAACTTAGGAAAAACAGGTTTAAAAAAATAGTGTGAGAACAGAGTGGTCTGGAAATTTAACATATCTTACTGGAATCACTTGTTTATAGAAACAAAATAGAATGGACCATGGACGGAAGAGAGCTCATTATGCTCCTGTCACACCTTTCTAAGTGCAGGACGATCGAACTTTTAGTGTATGGAGAAGGAAAAGGATCAAAATATTGGTCTAACAGAACAACTCTATGACCAATCTAAGAGAAACTACAGGGTTCTGTCTGTTAGAAGAAGGAAAGGGAAGCACCCCCGAGCCATTATCAAGAGAGACTGAAGAAAGACTTTGTTTTTAAAATATTACGCAATTTATATTTTAAATTGCAACCTCAGCATTTCAGGTTTGGTCTAAGGCCAATCACAATACTGTCACCTTCCGCAACCGATTGCTTTTGTTTTTATATTACAAGTTCTTAAATCCTCCAAGCAAATTCTTTTCATATTCTCAGAATAAAGTATTCTGCTTGTCCCAGATCAGACGCAGAAACAGACGCGAGAACCTGTTTGAATTTATGTATTCAGCAGACAAGATGAGGGATGCAGACGAGATGAGTGATAAACACACACACACACACACACACACACACACACACACACACCAACACACCGGCAGTTAGTGCGTCAGTTAGTGTCTAAGGTCGTGTTGCAGCATCCTAGTTTCAGGGGCTGTCACCATCAAGCCCGACCTAAACACGGGGTGAAACTTTGGGACAAATCAGTAGGCGCGACCAGTTCACCCGCCGACCTCCTCTCCAGGCTCCGCCCGAGCGCCGCTGATTGGAGGAGGCGGGGAGAATGTGCTGGGTGCAGCCAATCCAGGGCGCTCTCAGATCTCCAGGCCCCGCCCCTGACCTTCCCAGGCGGAGCTGGCCGCGGGCGAGGGCGGGCGGCTGCTTACACGGTGCCTGGGTCACCTAGAGGAACTCGGTTGCTGCGGGTGCTGACGCCGGCGTGTGGAGTATGTCCTCTCGAGGGCAGCCGCAGCTCCCGGCTGACGACCCCCCCTGGACGATGCATCTCCTGCCTGCGACTCGGGGACTGCTGCGGCTGGACCCGAGCGGCGGCGCGCTGCTGCTGCTGTGCGGCCTCATCGCGCTGCTGGGCTGGAGCTGGGTGCGGTGGCACCGGGCGCGGGATATCCCCCCGGGTCCCACGCCCTGGCCCCTGGTGGGCAACTTTGGCCACGTGTTACTGCCGCCCTTCCTGCGGCGACAGGGCTGGGTGAGCCACACTGCGAAGGCCGCAGGGATGGACCCCACGACCCAGGCCCCGCAGGTGATCCTGGCAAAACTGGCTCGAGTGTACGGCAACATCTTCAGTTTCTTCATCGGCCACTACCTGGTGGTGGTGCTCAACGACTTCCAGAGCGTGCGAGAGGCGTTGGTACAGCAGGCGGAGGTCTTCAGCGACCGCCCGAGGGTGCCCCTCATTTCCATGTTAACCAAGGAGAAGGGTGAGCAGGTCYCCTTGCCGCCGGGACCTGGGGTAGGGGTGAGGGGTCAAGGGTGTGTTTAGATGGCATTCCTGCGGCAGATGGGGCTCCAGGTGCGCCCGAACGGTGGTGCATCGAGCCCCTTCCGGCCACAGACACACAACCCTTCGCACACCTGCATCCTGTGCGGGTGGTGGGGGCAGCGGCCCTTCTACCATCCTGAGTCTTTAAGATTCTGCCGAGTCTTGAGGGATGCATGGCTGTTAAGATTCCAAGATCAGAAGTAGGAAACCCATGGGGAAGTTGAGTGAAGGGGGAGGATCACAAGGTGTATGATCCCAAAGTTTAAAAACTTTGGCCTTCTTAGGAGGGGAGAATAGCCCGGCGTGGTGCCACACGCTTGTAATGCCAGAGAAGCTGAGGCGGGAGGATACCAAGTTCGTGGCCAGCCTCAGCAGCTTAGCAAGACCGTGCCTCCTCTCAAAATAAAAAGGACTGGGGATGTAGTTCAGTGGTAAATAAAACACCCTTGGGTTAAAAATAAAAAATAAAAAAGGATATTCTTTTCACTTTATGAGTTTTGAGGGCAGAAGCTTAAGCAGAATTATTTTCCCATAGCATGTCCAGAAAATACTCTCAGAGCCTGTTAGCAAATCTAATGCTTTGATTCATAGCTTGTTTGATTCCTGTTTTGGGGAATCTGTATAGCTCAGTTTTGTAGTTCAGATAATATGTTGCCTGTTGCAGTGGAATAGAGTGTTCTCTTACCCCACCTTTACCCCCTATCCCCTCCAACACACACCTTTTTTTTTTTTTTTTTAATTACTCTTCCCTTTTGTCTTATTGGCTGGTAGGCCCCAAACTTCTTTGTCACAGTCACTCTTACCCACCAGTCAGGTCAATTTAAAAAACTTTCCTCTGCTACCTGTACCCCACTGTCAAGTGGTTAGGCTCCCTTCTTAGAAGCAATTTCATTGCTCTTATACTTTTCCTTCACTGAGTTACCAAAATGGAGACTACATAATTTTGTAACCTTGGTGGTGCATGTGGGTCTTCATCACTGGGCTGACATGTAGGAGAACAGAGCTATTGCTGTCTGGCACCTGTAGGAGCTCAACAAGTATTTAAGTAAATGAACTGGTATTCCCTGTCTGTGGCAGGAAGAGATTCTGGTTTTTTTAGGAGCTGATAACACCAGAGTTTTATATCAAGATTTTAAACAGTCGTAATTACCATAATACCTTAATGGTGACACTGAAAACAAGCATCATAGTTTAGACCTCGCCCTCTCTGTGTCTTCACACTTGCAGCTGCTTCTACTTGGGATTCTCCTGATCTTGGTGACTGCTTGGACAAATCCTGCCTGCTTTTCTTTTTAAATACTGGTAAAAGACACATAAAATTTACCATCCTAACCATTTTTAAGTGCTCAGTTTAGTGGTATCAAGTATATCCACATTACTGTGCAATCTGCCATCCATCCACAGAACTCTTTTTTACTTCTTTCTCAGAACCCATTCCCCTTCCTTGGTCCAGCCTCTGGCTACTACCATTCTCTCTCTCTCTCTCTCTCTCTCTCTCTCTCTCTCTCTATCTCTATCTCTCTCTCTCTCTCTCTCTCTCTCTCTCTCTCTCTCTCTCTCTATCTCTCTGTACNTCTATCTCTCTATCTCTCTATCTCTATCTCTCTGTACTGGGGATTGAACCCAGGGTACTTAACTACTGAGCCACATCCCCAGCCCTTTTTATATTTTATTTAGAGACAGGGTCTCTCTGAGTTTCTTAGTGCCTCTCTAAATCACTGAGGCTGGCTTTGAACTCACTATCCTCCTGCCTCAGCCTCCCAAATTGCTGGGATTACAGGCATGTGCCACTGTGCCTGTCTCCTTTTTGTCTCTGTATATTTCATTACTCTACATATCATATAAACAGAATCATACATTTTTCCTTTTGCAGCTAAAAATTTGCACTTGGTATAATTTTTAAGGCTTATACATATTGTTGTATAAATGAGAATTGCCCTCTGAAAACTAAATAATATTCCATTGTATGTATATGCCATATTTTGTTTATCCATTCATCCACTGATGAACTCTGGGGTTTGTCCACCTTTTGGCTACTATGAATAATGCAGCTGTGAACATGGGTGTGCAAATATCTGTTTGAATTCGTGCTTTCAGTTCTTTGGGACATACATCTAGAATTGGAATTGTTTGATCATATGATTCTATTTAATTTTTTGAGGACCTACCATACCATTTTCCACAGTAACTGCACATTTTACATTCCTACCAGCCAGGCACAAGTGTTCCAATTTCTCCATATCATTGATACTTATTTTCTTTTTTTTCATACCTACTTTTGAGACTGTGTTTCAATATCACATCTTTAATACTGTGTTCTCTGACATGCTTCCCTGTCCCCAGGTAGAGATGAGCTTCCCTTTTCTCTATGACCACAGTTTCCTTTTAAGACCCATCCCATGCCCCTCCAGTCAATCCACAAACCTTGTTCATTCCAACTGTAGAATAAAGGGTCCTGTACCCCTTTTTTCCTCCCCACTGTCAGCATCCAAGCTATAATTATTTCTCATCTGATACTTCAAAAACTTCCTGACTAGACTATTTGTTTCCATGCTATTCTTTTTCCATACTGCAGCTAAAATTATTATGTGCGTGTGTATTTGTTGTAGATGAATACACAAATACCTTCATTTTTAAATCTTTTTATATTTGTTCTAATTATTTATTCATGACAGTAGTCATTATTTTATTTATTTATTTTTATGTGATGCTGAGGATCGAACCCAGTGCCTCACACATGCTAGGCAAGCACTCCGCCACTGAGCTACAGCCCCAGCCCCCAAAATGATCTTTTTAAAAATCATGAAACCACATCTCTCTCCAGCCAAAGCTAATTTTCTCCTAGTTTTATACTTGACCTACTATGCTTTGTAGAATCTGACTTCTGCCTGCCTTTTTGTCTTTTATCTCTTTCTTTCTATTGTCCATTTACCAATACTTATTGACTTATGATTGGTAACATTCTGGTAGACACATTGTAAGTTGAAAATATCATAAGTCAAAAATGCATTTACTACAACATCATAGCTAAGCAATGCAGCACACTGTAGAGTCTTGGTCATCCGCCCTCCTGATCCCATGGCTGACTAGGAGCTGCAGCTCATCACTGCTGCCCAGGATCTTCAAGATATCATACTGCACATTGCCATTGTACAAAAAGGTAAAAGTTCAGGGACTGGGAGTGTAACTTCGTGGAAGAGTGCATTCTTTGCATGTACAAGGTCCTGGGTTCAACACCTAGCATGCACAAACACACACACACACACACACACACACACACACGATTTTCAAAGTATAGTTTTATCTGAATGTCCATTGCTTCTGCACCATCATAAGACAAACCATAGTAAATCAAGTACCATCTGTGCTTGTACATTGCAGCCTGGCCTTCCTAAGCACATTCCTGCCAAGCCTGTGCCAACCCAGGCTACTGCATTTGTAATCCTCAGCATTGTAGTATCTTCACTTGACTGACTGCTTCCCATCCCTCACAGCTCTCAGGCCAGTTGCCATTTTTCAGTTTCGTTTTAGTCACTTTCTTTATTTATACATACCACCCTTTATTTTCTCTCATTCGTGTATTACTCATTACAAACTTTAAAAATATTTAGTCTGTTCTACCCCCACTCACCACTGGAATGTTAGAGGTAGAGGGCAAAGGTTTTGTTCCTCTTGTTAACCACTGGGACTCGCTGATTGGCATAGAGTAGGTAATCAAAAATGAACAAAGCATACAAGCATCTGTTGATACACTCATCACACTGTGTTGTAATTGGTGTTGTGTGTCTATCTCTTTTCCTGGATTTCTTAAAATAGGAAGTCAGTTTTCTTCTTTCAGATCCTAATAGTTTTGTGCCCAGCTCTTAACAAAATAGTTTGTCATGGTGCTGTTTGGTTAAAATCTATAATAAGGGTAATTTCTAAGCATCACTTGGATCACTGCTTATTATTGGATCCTCTTTGTTTAGGGAAAGAGCTGGGAGCCTAGGGTAACTTAGTGCTTTAGTACTTCAGCTACAACATGCATTCTTCCAAGAAACAGGAGTTTGTAGGCAATGATGCTCTGGTGGATATGTGCTGACTGAATGCTGTGAAAGATTTAATGATAGAAATTTGTGTGGCTGGTGAAGATATCTGATGAGATAATGCAAAGGGAGGACCATATGATACAAAGATGCTTGTGGACCTAACTTGGAACAGAGAAAGATCATTTGAATAAGAAAATGTAGACAGTGAAGAAACAACTTTTTCAAGAGTGAAGTGGAGGTCTGGGGCTGTAGCTCAGTGGTGGAGCACTTGYCAAGCATGTGTGAGGCACTGGGTTTGATCCTCAGCACCAAATAAATAAATGCAGTTTAAAAAAAAAAGAGTGAAGTGTCAACAAAATAAAATGAGAAATTGCTCAGAAACTAAGAAGTGTACATCAAAATAGAAAATAAATGACATTAGGACTAAGAGGCCAATAACATTATTAAATATATATGATATTTTGAGAGAATTTGCTGCTAAAGTTGGTGAAGCTAGCAGAGAAGGGGATGTGTCATAAACAGGGATGTATAAATAGTTGACTCAGCACTTGCAGGAAAGTTCTAGAATGTGAGGTGATATTTATTATATTTTTTTCTGTTCCAAATTAGACCGGTTGACTAGACATGATTAGACAGCTCAATAGCCCACATTTCTTTATTCGGTTAGAGGTGGGGTTTTGTGTTACAGCTGCCTGGCCACCTGTTCCTCTGATGAGGCTACCCACTTCTGAGGAACTTTTTATCTGTACCCTCAGTCCTCATTCTCTTTAACTGTGGCAGGAATGGGAGATGCCATAACTTAACCTGAGTTCATGTCCCCAACCACAGCATTAGTTGAGGGACAGACTGATTAAAAGATGGATTGATCAGAATATTTCATCTCTTTCTAACAGTGGTTAGTCTGGTGCAT